CATGGCACACACACGCACACACACACACACACACACACACACACACACACACACACACACACATATATATATATATCCAATCAAACACGAATACGTGTCGATACAATACGTATATACTAGTACGCGTCGCATTCATAATTTTAAATACAGTCAGCGAGATACTAGGTTAATGACAACAGCCGATCTAGTTCTCAGCGTGAAACTCGCAACATGTTAGTTACAACTTCTACCTACGGGTGGCTCCACGAGCAGTCATTGTCGGCACATCTGCAGTTACGCTGTTTCGCCAGCAGACCTATAGTGCACATGTGGATGCATCGACGACAGGGACTAATCCCAGCAACGTGAGACATATGAACTCATTCACTATATAGCACGATACGCGCACTCGTGACACACAGTGGCATGCATAGGCAACACACAGCACTCGGTGTAAATACACGCAAAAACGCACGCACGCACACACACAACACACACACGCGCGCGCGCGTGCGCACACATACACAAACGAACACGTGAATGCGCGCACGCACGCACGGACACACACGAGAGAGCGAGAGAGAGAGCGAGGACAGTTCTACTGAGTCACGCATGCATCTTCTAGTTCACCTTGCGCGTAGGGATGGAAGCGTTCGTCGTGGCTCTGCTCACGGGCACCGGCTGCTGAAAATACATGAGCAATATTGCTCAGCGACTCGCTCCCAGCGAAACCTTGCAGAAACTCTCTCTAGTCCGACAGCGCACCCTGCACGTCCGTTTACCTGCCTATCTACTCTTACCTGCTCTCGCACGTGGCCGTCAGGGCGCACCATGATTGCCGCCTTACGTTGGTTAAGAGCAAAGGCGACGTGGTGAAAGTTAACGAACGAGAATGTAGAATGTAACGAACATAAATGCAGAAAATCAAGATATCACTTCGGGCAGAAATCACGAAAAGGGACTAGTTAATTAGATGAATAATCGAAATTAAATGTACGAGGACGAGAGGGAGGGTGAGATGGAGAGACAGAGGGAGAGGGAGAGACAGAGGCAGAGGGAGAGGGAGAGACAGAGTAGGCAGGCAGAAAGGCAAGCAGGCAGGCAGGAAAGCAGGCAGGCAGGCAGGCAGGCAAAAAAAAAACAAGCAAGAACAGGAGACAACAGCGAGACGCGAAAAACGGTAAAAGTATTATCATCACCGGGCGACGGTGAGATATTTTGACACGAGGGGGCGCGGGCTGCAAAAGTCGTACGCCGTAGTAACAGTGAACCGACGCTACGGATTTGCGCTTTGCCTCACCGCATATAGAGTTACGCAGCGCTGTCAGTACAACTGCACACCGGTGGCAGCCTGTGGCTACTCGGGGGTGTAGTCTGTAGGGAGATGGATAGTATTATTTGCAGTCAAGTTACGCCTTCGTTAAGCTCGCAGGGCATTATTTGGCAATCGCATTCCGTCACACCGTTAATGAATCCTTTATCCGCGAGAAATAAACCCGACGCGGCGACCGGATAAAATCGTTACCGTGGCGACCGCATTTCGCAGCATCACTCAGAATCCGGCTTTATCGCGTAGCCCCACTTAATGCGCTTTCACATTGCGCACGATTGAACTACAAAACATTTTTTTTTACAATTAGGGACCGCTCTCGCTATTACACGGGAGACAGCACGACTAACGCGTCGTGCGAATATTTTCACATACAACACGTGCGTGTGTGCACAGCAGTCGGCTTAAAACATCACTGTTATACTTTGGGCATCATTTGTCGCGTACAAATATTCACGTAACAACTCGCACGCGGGTGCACGGACTTGAACCGCGCACGGCGCCGTACCACGCCGCACCGCGCACACTCACCCGGGTGTGAGCGCATCGTTGGCGAACCCGTTGTAGCTGAAGCCTAGGCTCGGACTCGGAAAGCCGAAGAAGCCCGAAGAGTAGCCGAGGTTGCCGAGCGTGCCCACCGTGGTCCGGCTGCCGTTATTGAGCCGAGTCCGGCTCGGGCGACCTGAAACACGACGCACGCACACTGAGAAACTGACGCACGCACGCACGAACACTGAGAAACTGACGCACGCACGCACGCACACTGAGAAACTGACGCACGCACGCACGCACACTCAGAAACTGACGCACGCACGCACGCACGCACGCACGCACGTACGCATGTACGCACGCACGTACGCATGCACGTACCAACCCACGCACGTACGTACGTACGTACACACTCACGCACGCATGGACGCATGCACGGACGCATGCACGCGCGCACCAAACCACGAACGCACGCTCGCACCATTCCACGCACGTACGCACGCACGCACGCACTAACCCACGCACGCACGCACCAAACCACGCACGGACGTACGCACGCACGCACGCACCATCCCACACACGCACGTACGCACTCACGCGTGCACCAATCCACGCGCGAATGTACGCAGCGATGCATCTGGCTGATAAATTACTGACGCTGTGCTGTGGACGTGCGGCCGATTTAAGAACGATGATTTCAGAAATAGCCGCCTTCCGTTTACAGAAATAACTTTATCGTGCGTGGTAGGCTATATCAGAGAACATCAAGAATACTATATCGGTCCTGTTTTTAGTCGTAACGTATAGGGGGCCTATATACATATATATCCTCTCTATATATTCTATATATATATATATATATATATATATATATCAGGAGTTAATAAAGACAAATTATGTCTTTATTAACTCCTGATATATATATATATACTATTTTGTACATTGAATTAATATGCGTACCACGGCGACTCTTGGCGAGTGTAGTCTCACTTTTGCACGAAAACGAAATTTTGCACACGCACGAACACAACACACACACGCACGCACGCACTCAATGCCTATGTTTCGGCGTGCGTGCGAGTCGGAGTACACGCGCACGCCCGTATATGAAAAGAAATCATTATCCGTATAATAATTTACTATATACGTTTCTCCCGTGCTTTTGATCGATTCTCGCAGACTTTTGCGTGCAATGGTCGTTTAAAATGCCAGAATCCTAATCGTTTTCTCGTGCTGTAGTAGAGAGTACGATGTAGAGTCGTGGCGATAGGGAACTGCGCGCAGCAAGCGCGAAATGCTCAAAAGCCATCCGAAAATAATCAATTCCGTCACATCATCTCAGTAGCTGTTGAAGCTACAGGACAACTATATTATACAGGCTCTATTAGGACTATATATAAGGACATCATGAGACACCATGACCATCACACACGCACGCACGCACGCACGCACGCACGCACGCACGCACGCACGCACGCACGCACGCACGCACACACACACACACACACACACACACACACATATATATATATATTGTTTTGTTAAATTCGAAATGGCTGACATTTGATTGGCTCTTGGAGTCGGTTATTGTTGTCGGCGATTTGGTTGTCTTTCGGACGCAGTTCACGCCAGTGTAAATTCTGTTTAGGTTTGCTTTAAACTACGGAAACTACAGGTGGTTTCGCAGGGCGGACTGAATTTGAACCGAAGAAATTCCTATAACGTCTTGCGAAGATGGCAGAACATATATTGCAAAAGAGCGGATAGGTTTAGAACAGATAAGCACATTCTGAATAAAAGCCTAGACGTTCTAAAACGTCAGACGACACGATCTGTTTTCAGACGTTATATAACATAGCGAACGGATCGCGATTGTAAATACACGCCGTTGCAAAAAATTGAGAAGCGCAGAAACTCCAACTTGATTAGAATGATATCATCGGGGACGCGTTGTTGCGCACGGCGATTCAAGAAAAAAATTATACGAGCGAAACGCGATTACGATATGCAGGTATCGGCTTGCATCATGAGTCTTCCGTTGCGGGCCTTGCGTCATCAGACGTGCGTTACGTGTCTTGCGTCATCAGTCTTGCGTTACGTGCCTTGCGTCATCAGTCTTGCGTCGTGAAAACCAATCTCGCGACTCTTCTCTTGCCGACATTTGAAACGCAGACGCGATCACTCGATCATAGAAACGGACAGAGGAGACAATGTGACAAATGCGGCAATCAATTATAACGAGGCGTATCGTGAGTCACTGTCTCTAACCATCCATCTCTCGCCCACCTCCTCTATCGGAGCGCCTTTTATGTGCCACACTCTTTCCACACGAACTGAAGCGATGATTGTCCGTAAGTAGCGACAACGACTGCAGCTGCCGAGCAAACTGTTCGCGACTAAATGCATCCGGAGCGCACGCACGTCCCCCGAGAAAGCGACATCGCCGGTGCACATCTTCGCAGCGTTGCAAACGTGCACTTTCCACATTGCGCGCGGACAATAAAGATCAAATCCCGTGTCACCGTTATGACGCGACCGACTACGCATGCCGATGATACACCGGCATCAGCCTAAGTGGACGACGCTCGCTTCGGAAAACCCGCGCGGGTCTATAATGTGACCGCGTGTCCCCCCCTCGTTATAATTGGCGTGCAGGTTTTTGCGAGTCCAGGTTTTTTTCCCGCCAGTCAGGAAATCGATTTCCGATCCCGAAAAACGAATCGAGTCGCTGTAATTATTCTAATTAGGAACTAAGAAACAATCGCATTATCTGTTTGATTGTGAGAGGTGGAAAGGGAGTGAGTGTGAGAGGGACAGGTAGAGTATACGCAGAAGAGGAACAAAGAGAGGAGGTTGGCGTGGGAAGCGTGGAGATGGAAACGGACAAGGGAAGAAGCAGAGAGTGGATCGCTGTAATTTAGGTAAACGAATCTAGCACAATGACGAATCACATATATAATGCATGCATGACGGCAAGGGAGCAGCTTACATACACAGCAATCTAGTGCAACATGATAGAAGGGAAGCCCAGCAATAAGCAATTAAGTGATAGTAAAGTTAGTAACGCAGGGATTTGTAGAGAGTTGCAGAGATTTGAAGGCTATAGACTTCACTTGGCTGCTTGTATAGCGATCTCCTCCAGTGTTTTTTTTAATACGGAATGAAACAGATTCCTTACCCGACGCTGCTTACTGTACCGAGTTTAATTCTGTACTGACCACGTTGGAAGATTTAACGTTGGAAATTATCGTTCGTCTACGTAGGACGTTGAAATCAGTCTAGACTGGACTGTGGCGGTAGTTAGACTGGGCACGAATGCCGGTTATTAGGCGCAAGGAGATTCTCCGTACAAGTTTCCGAACGCCTGCAATACCTACGCAGTAAAAACACCGAGACAACTGATCCGTCTTGAAGAACCTGCTCGCACGTTAGGAAAATCAAGAATTCAATATCTATCTCGAAAAGAATCAAGCATCCATTTCTGTATCAAAAAGAAACTGGATGTCCTTCCACTATCGAAGTGAAGCCTGATCTTCTTCGGATAAAATGCAGATGACCTTTCTCTACCGAATAGAATCAAGAGTCCCATCCTCTGTCGAAGAGAAGCTTCATCGGGCCACTATAGCCAGATGTTCTTCTTCTATCGAAGAGAGGCTTAGCGGGCCTTAATCTATCCAATATAGTCAGATGTTCTTCTTCTATCGAAGAGAAGCTTAGCGGGCCTTGATCTATCCACTATAGCCAGATGTTCTTCTTCTATCGAAGAGAATGTAGAGTAGAGGCCCCCGCACTTCATCGAACAGAAGCAAGAATCCCTTTCTCGATCGAAGGTCTCTATATCGTGCGGCAATACCGCTTCCTCAAATGAAACAGTCGCGCAGACTGATCTAATTTAGCGCTCGCACAAACTCACACGCGTAGCGAAGGCTCTTACTAAGCGGGCCCATGTAAACGGATGACATTGGCGCGCGTAACAATGTTTTACTCGGGCGCCGGAAAAATATCGCTCTGCGTGAGATTACCAACCATCTCTCTAAGAGAGCTCGCCCTCTTTCTCTCGCTCTCTCTCTCTCTCTCTCTCTCTCTCTCTCTCTCTCTCTCTCTCTCTCTCTCTCGCTCTATCTCGCGCGCATTTTTCCTTACTTACTGTATCCCCCAGCTTCTCGCAGGCGCTGTCTCGCTTGTCTCCCCCTCTCTCCCTCCCTCGATCTCTTGCTCTCTGTCCTTCGTTCTCTACTCTCTTTCTCCAGTGTCCTCTGTCTCCAACCCTCTCACCCCTTTCCCTCTCCTCTCGTACGCGCTCTCTCTCTCTCTCTCTCTCTCTCTCTCTCTCTCTCTCTCTCTCTCTCCCTCCATCTCTCTCCTCTCTCCTCATCTCTCGCTTCTCTCGCTCTCTCGCTCTATCGGTTTCTTTCTTGTCCCCCCCTGCACTTGCTCACACGCACGCATGCACAATTTCTCTCTGTCGTTATTTCTTTCTCTCACTCTCTCTCTTTCTCTCTCTGTATGTATTTCCCCTCTGCCCCTTTTCTATATCACTCGGTCTGTGTAATTTCGATAATAAAAATAAGAGATGCGCCAGTGATCATGATGAACACAGAACAGTACGCCGGACAAGCGCAGTCGATCGCTTGCGAAATGCCAAACTCAAACCTTAGTGTATTAGCCCGCTGTAGTCGGCAGTGCGAGATACGGCAGCCGCAGCGTGCCCGAGTGTCCTCAATGTCGAGTAGGAGAGTGATGGCGAGCAGGCGAGGTTCGATGACCGAGGATGCGCGACGCGCGAGGGAAGGAATGAGTCAAACAACAAGCAGGATGTGGCGTATATATATATATATATAATAATAGATGTATATATTTACAATTATATATATAATATATATATATATCAGGATATGTTAATATTATATTCCCTTGTTATCTCACTACTTGATAATATAGTTAATTTATTTATTATATATATGTTTGCCACTTCCTGATTGTTGATTACGATGCATGGCAATGGTGTCTTCCATTCGCCATTTCCCATTTCGCCAGTTTCCCATTTCGCCCATTTATCCCACTTCGTGTCATTTTCCCCATTTCGCCATTTTCCCATTCGCCATTGTTCCCATTCGCCCATTTTCCCACCTCGCCAGTTTCCCATTTCGCCAATATTTTATGTGCTTCCACCCCCCTGCTACGAAATTGATCCTCTGCACATTACTTAAAAAAAAGAGTCATTTCTCAGGAAGGTTAGCCTGTTAAGGGTAGGTTAGGGCTTAGGGCTAGGGTTAGTTAGGGTTAGGTGCCTGCTACATGATCCATATGTTTTGTATGGTACGAATTTCGCCTTCTTGTTCTTAGTAAATAAATAGTTGACTCCATATCCAAGCATTCGTTAGTAATTTATTCATTACCAGAGGCCTCTTTAACCACCTCGAAACAAGGGGCGTGGTCGGGGCAGATAGCGACGAAATGGCGGAATGGCGAAACTGGCGAAACGGGAAAATGGCGAAACTGGGAAAAACTGGCGAATGTCGGAAACTGCGAAATGGGAAAACTGGCCGAAATGGAGAAAAAATGGCCGAAGTGCAATTTTTAATGGCGAATGGCATAATGGCCGAAGTCGGGAAAATGGCGAAATGGAATAAATCATGGAAATCCCTATGCTTTGGCGTGAGTGTGTGATACACAACACACAATAGGAATCAATAATATATATATTATATATAAAATATATATATATATATACTATATAATAATATTATATATATATTATATTATATATATATATATATATATATATATATATATATACTATATATATATAGTATATATATACGCCACATCCTGCTTGTTATTTATACACCTAGACAATGAATAAGTGCACTTACTGTTTGAGAGGACTTCATAGGCTTCAGAGATCTTCTTGAACCTATGCTCAGCGTCTTCCTTCTTATCCGGGTTTTTATCCGGATGCCATTTTAGAGCCAGGCGGCGGTACCTGATTAAAAAAAACGGCGGGTGCACACGTCAGCTATCCACCCTCACGTGATCGGGTGACACGGCCCGTATAATAAGTATATATCTATATATGTAAAAAAAAAATTTGACGCGACCGTAACACGGTTCACACGAAATGAAAATCAAAAAATGACCGAAACGGTAATTATCATAATATTGGAAAGTCAGTATAAATAATATTCCATGCACTTTTATATCACGTATATACTTTCTATGGCAAGCTTTACGAAACAATACCCCGACGTAAAGAATGGTGACAGGCATATACAATGGATAAATATAACAACGCCGACAGGGAATACACTACGCCTCTACCACCTCCCGATCACACAAAACTTCTACGTCACAAAAAGTTCGATTCACCCCACCTTTACAGCAACTAACATTGTTTTTGATACTGCGTGACCCTATACGATGTATGGCTTTTCTTGACGTAAAAACCCTTAAACGTTTAAAACATAAAAAGTAAAAAGATATAATAATGTAATGAAGTAATGAATATGAATATTTTATAGACCAAATAATCAAAATCTGTTATTGTTTTATGTCTAAGATCATAGGGACTAATTAATAGAGCGGCTAACAATCCACTAAGCAAGCGTATGAAATCTAATCAATTTTCCATGCGTTCCCACTATTTTACGTAGAGTACCGACTCCGTTATATGAAATGGAATTATTTCCCAGTCTTCTTTCACGTCTTTACACGACCTCATATGACAACTTGAATTTCTCTAGATAACCGTACCACGAGGCTTACGATAGCCAATGCTCTATCATCACACTGCACGTAGGATATTCTAATAACGCCCACTTATTCCGTAGTTCTAGCAACACCTATTGCGTTCGATATTTGAGTAGCATCCACTGCATATGATGTTCTAGCAATATCGCTGCTTCAGATGTTTTAGCAACATGCGCTGCGTCTCTGGCAATAGAAACATTCACTGTCTCCGTAGCTAGCGCTTGCTAGAGGTTAAGATGCAGCGGATGTTACCACAAGATCGGTAGTAGTGGTGGTAGCTGGAGTCAGACAGACTGGATATTACTAGAAAATGTAGCAGTAGTATTCATTGCTAGAACGTTCAGTATTGGAGGTTTCTATAGGGCTCCGGAGGCAGTGGGGGATGCTGGACACGAGCCAAACAGAAAAGACACACAGAAAGAACTCAAGAGAAAGAGAACGAAAGTGGAGAAAAACGAGAACGAAAAAAGGAGAGATAGCGTGATAGAGAGAGAGAGAGAGAGAGAGAGAGAGAGAGAAAGAAAGAGAGAGAGAGAGAGAGAGAGCGATAGCGAGAGAGAAAGAAAAAAAGAGAAAGAGAGAGGGGGGCGAGAGAGAGAGAGAGAGAGAGAGAGTCGCAAGCAATTAGCAACCGTGATATACTGTCTGTGATTTCAACATGGCGGTCTGCACTCATACTACACAGATTACGAGCTTAACGACCGTGCAGACAGTTTGTGCTCGTTACGGTTCTGTATGATCAGTTAGAGGAGAGGGAGCTGCCTGTATAAACCTGTGACGGTTCTAGCCCTCCAGCATGGGAGGTTAGGATTGAGTGGGTGGCGGCTCATGCAATTATCAGGCTATTGCGAAGAACGTCATCACGAGTCGTCCCTCTGACGCACATGCCTCTAGCTAAGCCGTGCCAACGTGTATTTCTGCTTACGTAAAACCGTAAAATATCTCGCGAAAAACAATTCTCGGCAGCTGCTGCAACCTTTGAGAAGCAATCAGCCCGAGAATAAACACCGCGCGCGCGGTCTCGCTCACGTGAATACAATGGGGTTAGCCGCTAGCTTTGTCAGCAGGTGGCGCAACGGGAGAATCGGTTGTACAACGGTTGTGCAACGACCCATGGCAGATGTAATAAACAGCGATCACACATAGCCGATCCTATATTTTGATCAACATATCAGAACAAATCGAACATATTTATACCTAACTTTAAGAGCTCCTGATAGTACAATTCTCCCTTTAACCCAATATATAAGTTTTGCTCTATGTCTGTTGATATAATCGAATAAATAGCCAGATGTGTCTAGGTACTAGAACCGCTAGTCGCGTAAGTTTATAACCACTGGCGATCGGTTTGTTGCGACTATTTTGATCAACATATCAGAACAAATCGAACATCTCTAGTTACTAGAACCGCGAGTATACATTAGATAACACAGGCCTTGTTACTTATGTCAGTGATAGCTATGCTGGAGCACGCCGTCAATGCTCAAAGCAAAATCCTAACTTCATGCAGAGACAGTTGTTTGAGATTACGTATTAGATAGACGTATCGCATCTAAGAGGATTCGTGTAGACTGTAGAGGGTCATTGATCCAAGCAAGACATTTAAAATATTAAAAAGAGACCTACCCCATCAGAAAATTTCTCTCGGTGGAAGAATTGTCAAGGTGTGCTTCATGACTTCTAACTTTAGGCGAGCTATTGTCAGCAGTAATGCCTATAGTGTTTGTAGTAAATGGCCTCGTTTTAGAAATAAAGATATACATAATCTCCTGATAATTTGTATGGCAACTTGGGTCTTTGTAGCTTATCTCAATCACTATATTACAGAACTCCTGAGCACACTTAAAAGAACAACCACCCACTTCACATATACTACTACTAATTAAGTAGCGGCGGGAGGGCAGACGGACAGGGGTAGTCCGGCCAGCTTTCTTTGAAACATCCTCAACCGTTTATTGGAGCCAGGAAAGAAGCGGGGTCAATGTTATAGCAGCGACAGGTCGCGGTTACCGGCCGTGTGATGTGAATGAACTTGAGGGGCAGACGCGCGCGAGAGAGAGAGGTTCAGCAGAGCCTTACACAGCTGCGAACACACGCGAGCGGTTCTGCATCACGACAAGTGAGGAACTACATAAATATAAGCAATCACAGTAAACTAGCTCCCCCCGAGGCAATGTGCAGAGCATGGGTGTGTGCGCGTGTGGCGCGATGCGTACGTGCGTGCACGCGTGCGTGAGTCTGTGTACGTGTGTGTCTGTGGTGCACACACGTACGCACGCACAAGCGCACGCACGCACGCACGCACGCACGCACGCACGCACGCACGCACGCACGCACGCACACACACACACACACACGCACACTGACAGACAGGCAGACAGACAGACAGACAGACAGACAGACAGACAGACAGACAGACAGACAGACAGACAGACAGACAGACAGACAGACAGACAGACAGACAGACCCCCATATATATATATATATTATATATATATATATATATATTATATTATATATATTATATAATATAATAGTAGAGAAGAGAAGTAGAGAGAGAGAGATAGAGAGAGAGAGAGAAGAGAACGAGAGAGAGAGAGAGAGAGAGAGAGA